GTTTCTACAAAAATTCCAAGAAAGATAATTCTATTACATATTATGTTACAAATGTATGTTACATATTTAGATAATTTAAAATTATCTAAATAYAAGTGTTCCATGGTCTGAAAAGTATAAGTCCACAGAAGAGATCAAGAAAATAGGACTAGAAGGGCTAGCTGTGGAGAGGTGCCCTGTATAAGGGCACCTTAAAAGAGGGTTTTGTTGCTTTCTGTTGTGCCATCTTTGGGAGCTGGGGTCTTTTCTATTCCATACCAGGCCTCATCAGGTAGCCCTGATCATTAGTCTATAACATGGATTTGACATCAATATTATATAGTCAGTCTTACTATTTCAGCCAACATTCATTTCACGGGTATAATATCAATAAGGTACCTCCAACAGCCTTAGTTGTAATTTGCTATGCTAATGGTTATCTTATTGATCAATTTTATATCCTATCATTTTAAACCCAGAAAGCAGCAATATTATACCAAATACATAATATTATACCAAATACATAAGCAGACAGCAAGTATAAATGCAGTCTACCATTCAAGCTGGTCACATTATAATGTTCTACTACTCAAACTAGGTAAAGTGAAATTTCTGTATACATGACGTTATCAGGAGGATTATAATTAGACTTACCAAGCTTGATACTTCTAGGTACTACTCAATGAGAAAGAGGTTTCCAGGCTTAAGCTTGAAAAAAAATGTACATTAAACTTTACAATTACTGGAAACAAATGTAAGAAGCTAAATCAGTCTAGAAAAATAAAATTATATCACACATTAATTCAATTCTGGCTTTAAGTGAAAGGAAAGAAATCAAAAGATGCTGACCAAACTGCCTCTCTTGAGAGACACACCACAATGTTTTCTTGTTTAAAAAAAAAAAGGTGGAGGGGAGAGACCCTTAAAYAAATATTTCATTTTTACACAGAAATCTTATGAGATAATTCAGAAAAAAAAAGAAAAGAAAGAGAGGGAAAAAAAGAAAAGAAACCATTCTAGTGTTTTTCCTAATGGAAAAATAAAATGGGKAATCAGAAATTTTTGTGTTAACTGGGAATTTTAAATTAATGCTTGCTTTATTTTAGTGGAGAAACATCATCAACAAAGTGACTTAAGAATACACTGAATGCAATTAGCCCTCACCAACAATCTGAAAACATCACACGCTTCAAATGCTAACACTTAAATAATCAGAGATACATACACAGAACACAGCTGGCTGAGTCAGGTACAACACACACTCTTGCCAGTCTGTTAAATGCTGACATCCGTGTTCGGAAACCACTATGGCACGCCACAACCTTGGGCATTCATAGTCCTGGTCAAACATATGAACCTAAAGAAGCAAAGCACTAAGAAACTACCTGCCTTGCATTATCAAGAAGGAAAAGGACCTGCACTTTTGTGAATAAATTCTCCCACTCTAAATACATAGTGAAGAAAGTGCAAAGAAGCACCAGAGACAATGTGAAAAGGTGGCATCCACCTGTACCCCACCACTGCGGCAGAGCTCACCCTCCTTTTTTCATCTTCTTTGTCTGCTTAAAAACTTCCAAAACTTAATCTTTCTTAAATATCTATCTTTAAAATCCAAAATCTAGCCGTTTTATGCTTTTTTAGGATCATGACATCTAAAATACCAAAGCGGAAAGAAGACAGGGAACAAGATAATAATCAACCTGCTACTCTCCAGTCTTCTGCGTATGTGTATGCAGAAAGAAACCCACTGGAATAACAATGTATTATTCATGGAATTATGCTCAACATGTGGTATTAAGTAATGTTCTGATGATCAGAAAGTAAAATGGAACCAATAATTTGGGAGCAATGAGAATATTCCATGTAAAGAGTCAGGGCATTAGAATTAGCATGCTGCCCAACCTGTACCTACAATGCAATCAACAATGCAGGGATGTCAAAGAACCCACTTGCTAGCATGCTTTAGGTGGGAGAAAGATTAAGAACTATGGGGCTAGGAAATTATTACTAGCTTATTTTGTAAGGAGGTTTAAGTTATTATTATTTTTTTTTTTTTGCTATACTTAGGAACTTTTTTAGCAAAAAGTTCCTAGGTTCTTAAGGGATTTTTGTTCTTGTTCTCACCTACTTTTTCCTAAAAATCTACATCAGCAAAGCTATAGATGGATAACTAAAGACCTACTGAATCAGGATATATTTCTAATAAAATATTATTGACTTATATATTTGATTGTAGGCTATTAATATACACTGGTCCTAAACGTGAGCAGTCTGTTTAGAGATGGTATTCTAAAGGACTATATTGTATTGCTGTCTTGATGCTATACAAATAGTCAAGTATATAAATTTCTTTGAATTGTGCCAAAAACTTGATCTGCCCTACTTAAATTCTATGTGCTGAAAGGAGTACTGGTGAATAGGGTAGAATATGAAACTATAATTCTGGATGCAAATATCATTTCCAATATTCAACTGCTGGGTGATCTGGGACAAATTATCTAACTTCTCTGGGCCTTAGTTTCCTTATTGGAAAAACAGGGATAAGAGTACACACTTCAAAAGAATTCATATAAGGATTAAGTGTACATGCAAAAATAAAGGCATAATGAAATCATCAGCTAATGTAATTATCATTAAGGTCATTCARCTAATGAACTTTGTTTGATAAYGACTTGTGCTTATATACAGACACACAAACCATATATTCCTAAGCACAAAGCATGCATATTGACATATATGTATATATTTGTATAATACACTTTACAAAATATTATAGATGGTCACAGTCATTCRACTATCTGAAAGAAAAGAAAGCTGCAATCTTGCTGTGGCTGTTACAAATTAAAATGCCATATGTTCAGTCAATTTTTGAAATGCTGTCTTTAAAAATTCAGCAATTACAGGGAATCTGGGCAAAATTCTGCAAGGACAGCTTTTCTTCTAAATGTATTTCCAATATGAATTTGATTATTAATCAAACATTAGCATATCTGCTACATATTGAGGCATATTCTCTTGCTAATTTGCTACATGGTTATAAAATAGAAGTTTTAAGAAATGAATAAATAACTTTTCTAGGGCATCAAGAAGCCTACAGGACAAGCAAGCAAGTGACCCTTCTCACGAACATGCTCCATAACAAAACAAAACACTGCTAACCCAAAGTTTTATAACACTTTAGGACTTATAAAAAAATGTTCAAATAATATAAAACTGAAACAAAGAAAATAAAAAATAATGACACATAACAGTACAGACCTGAATCTTTATTTTCCCATCCACATACTAGAAGATTTCACGGTGTGCACATTTTCCAAATCACTGCACTTCACAAGTGTGAGTTTCATTTATGTTCCCATTCCATTTCTGTTCCTGTTTCTTATATGTCATGGATACAAGTATCCAGTTTTGTATCCTTTGCTCCATCCTGCTTGATATTTTATTATTACCTACATCTTATTTGCCACCTGAATAAGCATTTGCTCAGATTTCCCTGTCTACTTCATCCTTTATTTCACCAATTAATTTCAACAGTAATTATAGTTTTGTTCTCTGGTCTCTAAAATGTTCCCAAAAAAGCCATGAGGGACTGGRATTGTGGCTCAGCAGTAGAGCACTTGCTTAGCATGTGCGAGACCCTGAGTTCAATCCTGAGGACCACATAAATAAATAAAATAAAGGCATTGTGTCGAACTACAACTTATTTGAAAACAAACAAACAAAAAAACATAATATTAATGGAAAGCTGCCCCAAAGATATGTGCAGGATGAAATACTATTATTACCTAAAAGATAATATTAAGAATAGGAATGTTGCAATTTCAATAGTTAATTCAGAATGAAAGGTAATATACTTCTCTCCAAAAATCTTAAGGTTTTTTGTTTTTTTTTCTATGCTTGCTTATCTACTACAGCGGAGAAGGGGGGTGAGAACATTCCAAGTCTAAGAGGTTGGGTGTGAGCATTAAGAAGTKTTAGAGGTTGGTGAGGCTTGTTTCTTTAATCAGCTTTATTTTAGAATACATGGTTTCTCTTTCTTTACTCATATTACCAGAATGATACCTTTATTTATGTCCTGGTTAGAGTGAACAGATTAAGGGATATTGGGACAGAATTCTGATCAAAAGGAAGTTGTAAGAGGAAAGCAATTGAACAGGAGCAAAGCAGGCCTTCCACTCACTGCTAGGATGATTAATATATCCTCATGTGATGGACCCATCTAACCACAGCATCTCTTCTTTTTCTTCAAACAATTCAGCACTTGCTGGAGTGACAGCAGTAGCTAAGGCTTCCTGAGTGATCACTATGGCCCAGACATGTCCATGTGCTTCCAATGCATCACCCCAGTTAACTCTCAGATCAACCCCGTATACTATCATGTCCACATTTTCTAGAGAATTGCCTTTGAGAATCAGAGAGGAAAAGCAGCTTATCTAGATTCACAGCAAGGATAACAATGATCCAACCGAGGTATATCAGTGCCCAGAGCCAAYCTTAAAACTGTTACCTCTCACCACCACCTCAACATAAAGCCATGTGACACGAAAGTGCATGTGACATTAGCATGAGACCATGTAACTTCATACAGCATCCAACACCGCATATTGGGTAGATATTTGTAACAATAATGAAAAAGAAAATTATCATTTATTTTTATATAACAGATAAGCACAATGAGTCATAGAGATATTATTTTCAAATTATGCAATATATTTATGAACCCAACTGGTTTATATGAACCCAACTGGTTTACAAACACCAACAAAAATCTTAACACAAGTTTTTTTTGTGTGTGTTTCCAAGAACATTCCTCCTCTATGTCAGACTTGAGTCCTCAGCCAAGTCTCTCCTACTTTTTAGTGTGGACTAAAATGATTATATTAAATATTATGCAAGGAGTTGAACTCAGAATGTCTGTTGCTTTCTGATGGTTTGGTTCTTATTTATTTTACCTGATCAGCAGAACACATTACCTTAGGTAGGCAGAACGGAAGGAAGAGGACAGATGGCAGCTCTCTTACCTGCTTGAGCGCCTTTTTGGTATGCTGCTGAAAGGAAGACACTAGCTTGCCCTGCACTGCTGTGTTCGTGAGGCTTGAATCTCGAGTGGAAGATGCTTCGTCAGGTACCTGCTTCGCACAAACTAGAAACAGAGAGAGAGAATGATATTACTAATTTGAATTCCTTTTTTTACCTCCACTGTAATTAACTCACTTGGAGTTTTTTCTCCAATTGAAAATGGATACTTAAAATAAAGCAAAATAGCACAGTAAAAAAGAAAAGTTATCTAGACTCGAAGAGAAGGGATCATTTAACAAATGTGTGGCCACAGTTCAATTTAACCTCTTTGGGCCTCCATGTTGCCTTACCCACTAATGGATGATAATTTTTATGTCACAGAGCTATTGTATGGACATAACAAACAGAACAATACCTGTCTCTGAAGTTGTAGTTTGGAGTCAGTAGACACTATCTGAATCTGAATATGGCAACTGAACGATGCACAAACTGAAGAAAACTATCTACATGAGCAAAAATGTTTTAAATCCACCCAGCTTCATAGATATAATGTTTCCTCTATTTAACGACCCTTCTTCTGCAGAATCTATGACCTGCTGCGACTTATTTCTCTTCTCCTATGGGACAAGACATGTAGAATGGAGGGGGAAAAATGAAATCTTGAGATACTTGTTTTCAAATCAAGACCAATTGTTTTTTAAGAAATGGTGCTGTCTACCGATTGCAATGTAATCTGCCGATTTTTACCAGAGTCAGATTTTCCCTTGGCCTGTTGTACAGCAGTCCAGTACATTCTCCCAAAAGACCACTTTTTAGGAGAACTGATGTCTAGACATGGGTGACTAAGGAGCTTATCTGGAAGCTAGAACTCTTCCTTCAGTCCTGCCCCAACAGACAGACAAGGTTTAACACCTGCCATGATCTTGGCAGGAGCACTGACACAGGTCTTTTTCTGTGTATACTGGAAGAAAGGGAGGCATTTGGAGAATGGAAGTAAGGAAGTACTATGATTAGTAGTAGCAGAATGAAGGCATATGTCAAAGGCAGGAGGCAAGAGGAAGTTAGATAGAAGAAAATAACTTGAGAACATATTGTAAATGCACAAAACATGACTTTTTAAGGGCACAGGGTAAACAGTATGTCAAGAAAACTTTCCAAGTAATGGTAACATGGGGGATTCTGAACAGGGTTTTAAAGGTACGTAGAGGAGTAAAGACTATTATACTTATCAATCCCCAGCACCAATAATAATAATAATAATTGTAGTAAAAAATTGAAGCTATGCACATACATAGTGCTGAGAAGAGTCAAGTTTCTTTCTACAGACTCTAGCAAATCTTGCCTATGAATGTACATGTGGCTCATGAGAAGAGAATTTGGGGAAATCAAGCATTAATCAAGCTTTGTTTTAATTCAGAAAGCAATCAGGAAGCCAGCCATATGAATGAGTTTAGGAAAAATGGTTGTTAATTATTAATCTAGGCACTTTACATATGTGATCTCATTTAATTCATACAGCTTGCTTGCAAGACAAATGGGTATTATGTTCATGTGGAAGAGAGAAAGCCAGAGCTCAGAAAGGCCAATAAGTCACCCATGGTCACACAGGCAATGACACAGCAGTGCTGGATCCAAGGCAAGCCCGGTCTAGTTCTGGAGCCCAGGATTATTCCATGTAAACTAGTTGGCCTCGAAAGCCAAAATCAGATGCAGGAAATTCCACGTCTAAAGAAATATAACTGAACTKCATGATGTTGCAAATGCTAAAACAGAAAGTTTCAGAAAGGGAACAAGTCATTTAGCCCCTGGCATTAAAAAATTAAGAATTGTAGGTTTAAATATAATTGTATGRTTTCAAAACATCTGCACATATAGTGACAGAAGTCCTTAAATTAAAGATCTAGTGATTTTTTTCTACTTGATACATTATGACATTTTTCATTAAGATGGTGTAAATGTTCTATTTTAGAACATTTTTAAACACTGTTTGCAAAAAACATGTATGGTTTCTAACACCTCTCCTTGAAATTATTACTCATTTGTAATACTTTGCTGAAGCTTACTTACCAAAAAATATTAGAAATAATCATCAATTTATACTCTAAAGAAAAATCTACTGTGTGTGTGTGTGTGTGTGTGTGTGTACTGGTTTATACAGATGGTCTTTTCAATGTGTTGAAGTCTCTATGAAGTGTGACAAATCAGGGAAGTGATAGAAAAGTGGCAGACAGGATACGTAATCCCAAGTAGACAGACTGAAATGGATATAATGTAAAAATAAAGGGTGCGTTAGCAAATATATTTTATTACTTTCACATTCTTAGAAGCACTTGCACCTAGAAAACTGAACACTTACTGATTAGAAAGGAGAACCAAATGCAATCCATGGGTATTAAGGAATTTATGGAAAATATGAGAATGTTCCTGCATGCTGGACCTCTAAATTCAAATTTACTACCAATTTACTTGGGAAATGCTTTTATTCATGTCTTTCAAAGGTAAACTACAGTACAGCAGGATCAAATAACAACAAACTCTGTCTATACAATTAAAGCCTTTGTGTCCCTCCTATTTTCTGACTGCTAACTAAGCGGTGCACAATCGACTCTCCTGAGGATAACACTAGCTCACCATTTTGCTCTATTTCTCTCTCATCTAGGAAACCATCCAATATTGGGAAACCACATGATTTAAATTTATGATGACACTGTGTTCACAGTGATTCATATACATTTTTATACACTGTTTCCAAAAGAAAGATTCTGTTCAATTTGGAGCCCAGAACTTTATAGGGAAGCCAGGACAATGGAGTTAATGTCCAGCCTTAATGAATACTGTGAACCTAGTTCTCAAAATGATTCATCTTCCTCTACCCAACTCTATTTGCTTTATCTTACATTCCATTCCAGACTCAATGAAGCACTATGAATATTCCTGTATTAAGTAGCCATTTTTCTCCCTGATGGCTCTTTCTGGAACTTGGTCCTCACACATTTCTCTGGGTCAAACCATTTTTCCCCTAATTATTTTCTTCTGATAGAATGATTATAGAATCTTAAAGAAAAGTACAATGTTATCAAAAAGTACAATATATACATGATTCTTTCCTTTGGGTTAAAATTTAAACTTCTAAGGAAAAAAAATCAAAAAAGAAAATTACTGATGGGGTACCCACATAATTCATCCACAAGCTCCAAGAAGGAGGTGTGTATGTGTTCTTTTAAGTAATGACAAATACAGACTCTTATCATGAATATATGAATCACTGGGTAATCGAACTGTACAAGGTAACACAGTTTCATTCTCTGACAAAACACAGGGTTTTCAGCCTTTTTTAAAAATTTATTTTTGAAGCTTTCTTAATAATAGATGGGATAAATAACTAAGGGCCTATTCCAAACAGTTCCCTGAAAATTTATCTGAAGGACTCAGTGTAGCCTCTGAAATTCAAGCCAAAGAAAAATTAATGCTAAAGGAAGGATCAAGGAAAATCCCCTGTAAGTAAAACTACAACAGGAGCCAGGAAACTGAAGAATTAGGACAGATGTTTTATCCAATAAATATCAAACACTGACATGCAGTTTAGAAACGGATATCTTCTTGGCATTCAGGACAGAATGGGAGCTATTTTTTTCTAATTGGCAATTGGCATGATCACAAAACTACTGCCAGAACTTTATACCTCGAAACCCCAAAAGACAGCCTGCCCTTTCCATAGGTGTACAAACTGCAGATGAAGAAACAAAAATAACACTGATTTTCCCTGGAACTTATATTCCTCAACACCTTTTAAAAAAAAAAATGTGTAGAAATAGTATTTCTGTCTATATTTTGCTTGCCTCCCAAAATTAGGTGAGCAAAACACATAGTTAACGCCAATCTTCTGATATTAGACCAGCCTATCATCTACCTCACACTCCCCCAAATCTCCAAAATAACCTGTTTACAAGATCCAGGAGCAAAGACAGGTGGATGTAACCCATGTAACCCATGTAACCATGAGGCAGCTTTAAAGCCCAGGGACACGGATGACTAGATTCTAGCAAAACTGTGGGTTTATTTCTTTTTTCTTCAGCATCCCCAAGTTGTCATCTTGTCTCTTTTTCACTTAGCACTCAATTTGAGCATGCAATTGAACTACAAAATGTGGATTGGGACCCATGTTTAAAGTTGCATGTTGGACAGAGGATAGGATACAGGTGGTATCCCCTCCTAATCTCACTACTAACCCACTGACTGGTGTGCAAGAGGACACCCACAATTCTAACTTTGACCTTTAACTCAAGACACACACACACAAAGGGAGAAATCAGAACATAAACTTGCTCTGCCACTACTTCTATTCTCATATCTTCCTGATTTCCCACTATCTCTGATCCATTTACCTGCTATGTTTATGCATTGGCTCTGATGATCCCTCCTCTAGATTCTCCTCCCCTTTACCTAGCAAACTCATCTGGGCAAATCAAACTTCAAAGAGCTTCCCACAAAGCTTCCTAGAGTATGAATGAGGCCAACTTGCTTCTCCTCTGACCATGCTTCCTTGGAACCTAGTGGATGAATTCTTGACAGTCCCTGCAGAACTGGGACCTGTGTCCCCTGGCTCAGCAACTCAGGGACTGAGAATCCCTGCAATACTGGGATCTGCGCAAATATGGGCTCAGAGCAGGCAAACTATAAATGTTATTAAACTAAAATTTTTAATTTGATTTTCATTAAATTTGTTTAAAGAATCCATTGTTGAAGCTAACTTTCAATTACTCTTTTTAACCTGAATCATGGAAGGGGAGGTCAGCAAAGCTAGTTTTTAATATGCAAAAGCATATATAAAAATAGAATTTAAAAATTGTGAAAACAGAAGCCTGTTTTCAAAAAACTCTCTAAAATTATCCTAAAGTCAATTAGGGAAAAATATAAAAGCCAAACCACAGACCTTCCTATGAAAGTCTGTGGGAAGCTGCATGACTTGCCACTAATTATAGATACATTTCCCTCTGCTGTCCTTACTCATTGCCTTATTTTAAGAGGAAAGTCAGAGTTTTGAGGTTTTACATAGGGAAATAAAAATAAATAAAATTTAAAAGTCAAAATTAGAAATCATTATGCTATGTAAAATTG